CCCTCCCCTCCTCCTCGCTCCCTCCCTCCCTCCCCCCCTCCTCTCGGACTTTTAGAACCGAAAACCGTCGAGATTAGTGAGCAGCCACGGACGGCGGAGGCGAAAGGCTGGACCCGGCCGTATCCGAGTCGTGCCTCTGCGCCCGTTCACATGCCATCTGGACGAGCGGGTTCGTAACTGTTTTTGTGTCACTAGACATCTTTTTTTATCTCCTCGCCCGCTGCTTAGCTCGGGAATTATTCAATATTTCTGCGGAGAGAGAGAGAGAGAGAGAGAGAGAGAGTCTGTAAACGGGGGACCGGGAGCGGAGAGGCTCGGTGAAATGCCTTTCAAACGCCGAAGTGGTTCAGTGTGTCCACCAGAGAGGGCCGACAGGAGAGAGGCTGGAGCACTTCTCATTAGGTCGGCTCGGGATAAATAACAGTAGCCCGCCTCTCAGCACGCAGACCGACGGGAGTAGCGCGAGGGCTTCGCGGAGACTCCGCTGCGCATGGAGCCGTAGAGGCTTCCCGTGGTGGTCCGTGGAGTTAAATATATTGCCCCCCCCCCCCCCCCACCTCTTCCTTTTTCGGTGGCCACTCCAGCAGCTCAATTGTGTGCAATAAGTTGTGTCACCCACCCAGTTGTTGTCCAGCTGGCTACTTTGTTTTTGCGAGTAAGAGTCAGTGCAGCCTGCTTCTCTTGTGTTATCAGCGCGTGAGATTGATTATTTGTTTGTTAAAAAACGAGAACACGTCCACTGGCAGACAGTGTTACTTTGTCGGGTGCTCGTGTGAGTTTTGTTTTGTCGGGCTCTCCCCTTCGCATTGATGTTGTTGACTTACCTTATCAGGCGGAGATGTGACACATTGCCACATTGTGTTTCTCCGACGCAGCCACTCGATGTTGGTTTTAAATGTAGCTCCTGTCACTCCGCGTGCCCCCCAAAACAACCGTCCTTCTATCCGCGTTGTCCACGTCATTTCAGGTGATGTTAACAGAGGGGAGACGGGCTCCCTCGTGCAGCCCGTGACCGTGTTTAGTGTGTAGATGGACCGAGATTACCTGAGAGCCTTTCTCTCATCATGGAGACTGTTCTCCATCTCCGGCGACGGAGCAGCGAACCCGGAGCTCTCCAGAGTTTTTCCGTGCTGATATTAACAACAGAGGGAAAAAAACAAATTGTTTTCAGAGTGTCCTCCACACAACGTGCATTGTGCACTTTGTTTCCCCCACACATGTCTATTGTGCTGAGCAGTGGACTGACCGGTCTGAAGTGGGGCTACAACAACACCACAAAATAATCTGCTTCCGTCGAGGCTGTTTTTCCTCAAAATGTAACGTCAGACTCGACTTTGTTTTGTCTGAGCGGTGTTGCCCACGGCGTGTGTGCCGGACTGCTGCATACATTGAGTGGCCTACATCGGAGCTGATGAATGCAAATGTTGTGTCGGAGGAGGAGACAGCGTATGATCGCGGCACAAAGACAAACTAGCTGTAAGCAACTGTTGTGCGGTAATGAATGCAGACCCTCCTTTACACTGAGCTGCATCGCTGGAGCCCCCCTTTTTCAGTCCGTGCTCGCAGATTCCCGCAGAGATCGGTGTGTCAGTCATTATGTGCCTCATAGTCGTTATATTTCACCGGCTCCAGGGGGAAACATTTTCCATTCCCTCCCCCCCCAAAAAAAAGCTTTGACAAAGATTTTTTTTTGTGTGCCTCTAGTACCTTTCATGTAGTCTTCTCATTTACTTGCAGATGCGCTCGCCTGCGCTCACCTCCACCTACACAGCCTACCAGGGGCTGTGTGTGTGTGTGTGTGTGTGTGTGTGTCGTATATGAGGGTATTTCAAATGATAGCAGGATAGAACTGTTTGATTATTATTCATAATTGTGTGCATGGTTCGTATTGTTTTGTGAGGGAAGGTATGAATTGTGTTGTCAAAATGTCCTCCTTTTTTGTGAGTTTCTCAATGGAGGAGCAATGGGTGGAATTTCATGTCTAATTTTAGATCACACTGCTTGAACCCCACATTGACTGCTTTCAACTTAGGCGGGCTGCTTTATTGTAATCATAAATAATTACCTGTCCAGTGATAGTTGAGAAACTAAACTTTTGCTCTCTTCCCGTCATCCACATTTTCTCCGCTCTCCAATAAGAGATCATTTGAGTTACAGCTGAATACCTCATGGATGGATTACTGAGTGGGCCTACCAGGGGCCCCAGGGGTCATAGGCCATAAGCCACACGCCCTGTTTTTGACTGTTATAAACATTTTTCATGTAAGTCATAGGACTCAGTCAAAACTGGGGATGTTAACTTGTTTCTATCCTGGTCCTTTAATGTTGAGTATTTGCTGATACAGACCCTCTCTTGTATTTAATACCAGCCGCCGTGACAGCGACACTATTATTGTTTTCACCTTGTGAGTCTGTGTGTGTGTCATCACTGCAAAATGTGGTCCTGGAGTTGGCTTAACTAGAGCAGGAACTACCACAGAAGCGGTTCTTAGTGGTTTGCCATGTGTTTAGAGTTCTGTCTGTGTATCTGTGGACAGATGTCGCCGCGATAGCATTATAAGCTTTAAAGATACAGTCACGAAAGTTTACAGGTGTGTAGTTGTGATCAAAATGGATGCTGTGTTCATAGGTGGGTGTGGTCCAAGGGTGCCAGAAGTAAGGGGGTAACAAGTGTGGAATGGGCCATTGGCCCCTCCAGTTTACACCCCCAATTTGGCATCGCAAAACTTAAGAAGTGTATGTTAAGATTTCAAAGATGGGTGTGTTCAGAGGGTTTCAAGACATAGGGGGTAGGAAGTGAGGAAGGGTCCATTGCCGGCTAGTGTGATCCCATCGCAAGATGGTCTCTAGATTTTACAGTATTGTTTTTAATCCTAAAACAGCTGCACACTGCATACCAAGGCTACAGTAAGCCGTATTTAAACTAAGCAATTTAGATGTTTGACAGCAGAACATCCCTGCTTGAAGAAAGAACATGCATCACAGATTTAATATCTTGTATCGTATGGTATTTGGTATGATTCGTGTGTGTGTGTCAGCGTGGATCTGTTGTAGCAGGAGGGTTTGAAGTGGATTTAGGAAGCCTCTCTTCATCACTTTCGAGTAAAGTTTAACCAGGAAATAAAGCGGAGATTGTCTGCGAACAATACGAAGGGGCGATGTCGTATTTGGGAATGGCGGCCTTTTATTTGTCTCCGTCGGGGACCCGTTGGTTCATAATCTGTCCGTATTGCAATACATCAGGTTCATCATTTCATTCACTGACTATCCTATTTTCAGTTAAGATAAATCCCTCTCCAGATTGATCACACTGACAAATTGTTAGTATTCCCCGCAAGCAAGCAAATAAAATCAAAGGGAACAAATACATTCTTCAATCCACCACACTTCTCTCAGCTACCCTAAGTTGTCTCTCTGCTCTGAGGAAATTGTAACATATCTGGCCTTCAAGCCTGTCTCAAAGAAAGGAACTTTTCAATTTCCCAATGTTGGTAACTCTGAATCGTTTACTGTTGCATTGAGTAGGTCTTATTCCTTCATGAAGAATTGAATGGAAGTCTCATTTGTGATTGAAACCAGAACAGCAGCAACAGTCCTTTTTTTCCATGTTCTTTTTCTTGTGTGTTCTGCAGCATATCGCTGTATTTCAAGGAAAACTCTCACCCGACTGACTCAGCTACCCCTGAGGCATGTTGTGTTGAAGAAACACCTATGCAGGTAATTGTTTTTATTTTCATTACAGTTCAATTTCTAGATTAGAGCATCCTTTTTCCTTTATCAAATTAACATCGGCCTCGTGATCTTCTCTTATTACTCAGGTGGATCCTACACTAATGAATGTAGGGGATGGAGGCACGGTGAGCAGAGAGATCAGTGCTCCAAATAAAGCGTCTGCTAGTATGGTGGGAAACCCCCCCCCAGACGCTACCCTCTGAGTTTAGAGGAGATGTTACCCTCAGTCAGCAAAACAAGACCACACCAACAACAGACTGTAAGACAGCGAAAGCCTGCCTGGACACTAGCAATTACAACCACAGCCCTGAGCTGTCTCCACCTCAACAGCCCAACAATGCACCGACGTCCGGCTCAGAGAAGAGAGCAGACAAAAGGGCAGAGGCCCCTAAACTCAAGGCGGATGGTGCCGGGCTCCTCCCCACTCCCCAGTGGTCAAGTGGCGTGAAAGTCAGCCGTGAGGACTCACTCAGCCCCTGTCACAGCACTGTGACATCCAGTAAGAAATCGCTCCCGCAAACACAATCTGTACAAAGTGTACCACCTGGGTTTCAGTGCCCCACCATGTTTAAACCAGCCCAGCCCGTCACCTTCCTTCCTTCCACAAATTTTCCCTCTCCACTTTGTAAAATCACTCTTCCACCAGCACTGGGTCAGATCGCGGCACTTAGAGAAGCCACAGCCAGTCAGTTTCAGAAAGAACTCCAGCCTCAAAGCTCAGGTGTCGGAGGGACACCTCTCATGCGGACCTATCCCTATCCGTTCTCGGTGGGCAGGACTCCAGCTGCAGAGAAAAAAGCCGGCGCATCGTCATCGAAACTTAAATCGAACCATTCATCTAATAAGAATTCTAAATCTGTGGGAGAGCATATATCTTTAGCCTCAGTGGTGGCCTCACCAGCTATTGCCCTACCATTGCAGCACCCTTCATTAACTCCTGCAGCACCCACCCGCTACACGCTGTCTCCCACTGCTGCCATTTGCTGTGGCTCTGCACTGGCCAGCATCACCTCTCAGAGCAGACTGCTGAACCATGTGGACAAAAGCAACAGCCTAGACAAGACAACCACGGGCTCTCTTAAAACGACACCTCCCTCTGCTTCAGATGACCACACAGCTTGTTCGGTTGAACCAAGAGATGTACCCCTGGATTTATCTGCTAAATCTAAACGTCCAAAATGCATAAATGACCCTCCAGTTGCGATGAGCGAGCCTCACAATAATGAGTCAAATCAGAGAGATTTTCTGAACTCAAAGAGGGCTCATTCTGCAACGTATAGCTCAGCTGTGCAATATCCTATCCTACCCAACACCCACAGAAATGGATCCCATCAAAAGCAATTAAATAGGCCTCAGAATCACCAGGCCCAAGACCCCAAACCAACCTGGGGTAAGGGATCTTCTCAAGACTCCGTAAAGAACATCCCTGGAACATATGTTGGTGTGGCCAGTCCGATACTGGCTTCTACTCTACGGGGCAAAGACGGAAAAGGGACTTTTGCCGATGAATGTCAGAGTTTTGCAAAGCAGGAGTTTATATCTATAATTGACCAAGGAGAGCATCTGGCATCAGGAGGAAAGAAGCCATCCTGTACGATGCAGGGCAACCAACATGCTCACAGTGTCAAGCATGTTAAAAACACCAGCATAGCCATAACTAAGAACTGTCCCTCTAAAGGAGCCCTGACTACCGCCCTGTCGAGCGCCGCCAGCGCTCAGACTCATCAGAAATCTCGAGCCGGCAAAACCGCGGCGCCATACTCCACCGCCGTTGTCAGCCCAGCTTGGCAGCAGCCACCCAATATGCCGCACCAAGCCTCGTCTGTTCAGAGAAAAATCACACAAGGGTCTCCGAAGACGAAGGGTGGCACGGCTACAGAGGGATCTAAGGCTCAGAGTGGCCATCGCAGCCCGTCCAACCCCGAGGATGATAAGTGGGAGAGGATGAAGTCTCCCCTGTCGAACCTCGCGTCCATCGTAAAGCAGCAAGCTCTTGACACAACAGCACAGACGGCCGAGGGCAACACTCAAGCTTCACCTGTTGCATCAAGAAAAGCTGATGGTCTGAATCCACTCTCTGGGAGCCAAGACACCCAACCCAAACAAACTGCTGCGTTTGAATACCCAGCATACTGGTCTGTGGAAAATTGGGCTGGTTTGCCATCTCAAGGGGATTCAACTCCAGCTAAGAAGAAGCACGAGAAGGCAAACGCCACCGAGCCTCTGGAGAATAATACAGAGTTAAACGCCAGCCAGGGAGAACACGTGGGACTGCCGGCGAAGCAAGGCTTCTCAAGGCCTGCTGGCCATCTCTTTGGCAATGCATCAACCAATGGGAACAGGCTGGAGAGCAAACTAGCCCAGGTGTTAGAGGGGGAGATGTTGAAGAAAGACATTGGGGCGTCGGACGGTCCTCCCAGTGAAAAATTGGACGGCGTGGTAGCATCTATTCTGACAGGCCAGTGTGCGACGGGAGGCGACAAGTTCGAGAAGAAAACAAACGGAACCAAAGAGGAGTTGCCAACCAAAGCAAAAGCTGCCGCCGTCAAACAAAAGAAAACCAGTCCTAAGAAGCCAGCGAAGGAGAAGTCACCACCGGACTCATCCAAGAAGGCCGCAGGAAAGAAAAAGCAAGACATAGAAAAAACTCCAACCAAAGTGTCTTGTCAAAAGAAGGTAGATTACCTCTATGTGTAAAATATCTTTGTTCTTTTCTTATTATCTTGCCATGGTTGAATTTTAGGGAAATATTTTGGGCAGCGATCTACTCAATCTCATCAAGATTTTAACAATTGATTTGACGACACAGAGCTCCTTTTCATAATGTGAATCCACGACTGATGATTTAACTTTCAAAGGCTTATTGTAAGACTGTTTCATGCTCTCTGTCATCATGAAAGCTTTGTGATCAATGGCATCGAACACGGCGTGCTGACTCTGACCCCTGTGTATTCCAGCAGAAGAAACGATGTGCACCTGTGCAGGAGCAGAGTCTGTCAGCGGGGGAACTTTCTGCACAGAGCAAAGAGCCGACTCCGAGGGACAAAATCAGTCCCAGCAAGGTTGAGCAACCAACCCGCAACAAATCTGGTAACGTCTTTTGTTTCTTATAATCCTGTGACATTTACAGCCCTGAGAAGTTCTCCCAGCATGGACATATTTCTGATATCTATCTCAGATTTAATGACGCTTTCAGTTGAGTCAGACATGTAGCATTTTATTGAGCTCACAGGCAGATTACTCTCTCGCAGCTTTAGTTGTGGAGATAAATAGCCCGCAGTCAGTCTCGGTGGCATGGTAGTTTGTGTACAGTGAAGACAGAAAATGTCACACGTATTGTCTGCATGGCGTTTCTTTTACGTCTCAGTGAAACTTCTATGCACAGAAGCTTGTGTGAATATGACGATCAAATGTGATCTAATCAGTTGCAGATAGCGGCAGCAGTGCTCTAGAGACTCCGGATTCTCTCAATCGCTCTGCTGTATCCAGTAAGGAGGCCGACGCCACAGGGAGCTTCATCCCAAGGCTGAGGAGAGGACGGCGGCGGGCTGATGAGGCTCGACTCGACCTCTGGGGCTTCGCGACGCCTTCCCCTCCCCCCCCACAAATGCCTCCTCCCCCAGTTTCCCCGTCACCCCCCGTGATTCCCACCCAACCCACCCGCCGTCCGAGAGGAAGGCCCCGCTCGACCCCCTTGCCAGAACGAGCGATTCAGGGAAAGGGCAAGACGGCCGGTGCAGAGGGTGAAACGCCGGCTCCCAAGAAACGCCGGCGATGTCGTAGCAAAAAGTATCAGACCGGGGAATACATCACTGAGAAAGACAAGCTGGAAGATGGAGAGCACCTCGAAGAAGCGGATTCCCTGAGACGGGACAGCGGAGTCCCAGCGGGTACGCAGTTTGTCTCTAGAGATCGGTAGTTTTCAATTAACAGTTTCCAGCCCACGTTTTAATCAAAAGTGCAACTGTTGGTTACAGATGTGACTAAAAACCATAATGTTATAGTATGAATGTGTAAGAGTGGCTGGTTGACAGAACATTTAGATGAAGTAGCCATTTTGACAATTGACTAATCATTTAAGTAATTTGTTGAACATAAATGCCAAACATTTATTTCCAGATTTTCTGCTTTTATCTGTTTGATATTCATGTAAACTGAATATTTTTGGGTTTTGCACTCTTGTTAAGACAAAGCAAGACATTTGAAGATGTCAACTTGAACCCCCAGTAGAGATGATGGACATTTTAAACTATTTTCTTAAAATGTATAAACAATTGATCGATTGTTGTGAGCCCCGAGTGTTCATAAAAATATCTGTTTAGGAAATAAAGATAAATAATTCAGAATTAACAATAAGAAAGCTTAGACAGCGTCTTCTATAGTTCATACATATTAAAATAGACACGGATAAATTCATTTTAAGAGGATGTACATCTTTGTAAACAAGCACATAGGAAAGTATTAATAGGATATTATACAGTATATGATGACAGACAAATATTGAGATCAATTTAGCATCTGACAAACGCATATGCAATTTTCAGTTTATGTTCTTGAGGTGCCGACTGTGTCATGTCGATATCAGCAAGTCCTCTTCAGGTCCCTGTTGGTGTGGATGAGCCATTGTTTCAATAGGTACCAAACAGTCTGATTTTGGCACAAAACAGCACCTGAAATATTTCATGCTCCATGTTCGGCTTGGCAGATAATCAAGAGCATGAAGCTGCATCAGTACATCAAAGATAAGATGGATGATGTTGAAATATCAAGATTGTTTGTGGTGTTTTCACTGTGTTCATCTGTTTGGTACCAGCCCACATAACCTTCGATTCTATCTATCATTACAGATCCACAGGCGGATCAGTGTTCGAGTCCCACCGCCTGCAGTCCAGAGCCTCCTCCGAGGAGACCCTCGTTCACGCGCTCCGGGTCGGTCCGCTACCAGGAGAGCGAGGTATCTCCAGAGTGCAATGACAAGCCTTCAGGGAAGAGGAAGTTCAAAAGCAAGCACTTAAGTGACAGCGATGAGCAGAAGGTAAGATGTTTGCTGAGGCTGCTTGATGTATTGTAGAAGATTTCAAAGCCTACAGGCTTGAGTAATCTACAATGTCCCATGAATATATTAGCTTACAGTGCCCCCCTGTGGCTAGATAAATACCATGCGTGTCACGTTTATGATGGTAGCTGCACAGGTCCTCGAAGAGAAGAACCCGATGCATTACAAGAGATTGCATTTCACACACTGCTCTAATCAATAAATCTATATTTTAGGTTAAGACCAAACGCAGCAGCCAGGGCAAGCGTGCTGCCTCACTTGCCCTGGATAGTGATGGTGCTGATGTAAAACGAACAGAAAGCCTCCCACCCACTCCAAAAAGTTTGCCCTCATCTCCACCCAATAAGAAAGGCTCATCGGGGAGAATTTGCAGCTCCGAGTCTCCGCCCAAAAGGCCCGTTCCTCCGGAGGTTCGGCGGCTGATTGTCAATAAAAATGCCGGGGAGACTTTGCTGCAACGTGCCGCACGCTTGGGCTATCAGGTAAAATCCACCTGTTTCCTCGTGTAGTATCTCTAACATGACAGTGTACCTCTTTGAATCATGATGTGACACGGTCCGTCTGTGCTACTACCTCTGCTGTGCAGGACGTAGTCCAGTACTGTCTTGAAAAGGACGTCAGGGAGGTCAACCGGCGCGATAATGCCGGTTACACGGCTCTCCACGAAGCGTCCTCTCGAGGCTGGACTCAGATTGTCCAGATGCTGCTGAACCACGCCGCTGACGTCAACTGCAGCGCCCAAGACGGGACACGGTGAGGCCTCATGGTCGTGGTTCTAGTTAGTTGATTGTTTCTCATCTAAGTATTTATCTTGGGTGTAACCTTTGAAACACATTTGAGCACAGAGATTACTGGCTTTTTGGAGCCATCCGTCTCATCTCAACGTCTTTGTTGAGCTTGCTGAAATGACAAATGTTTGTATATTGATGATATTAATGTGATGGATGTAATGTATATAGTGTCCTGCAAAAGTATTCACCCCCCTTAGCGTTTTATGGAAGAAAACATGTTTTGAGTTCGTCAAAGGGCATGCAGGAGACTCTAAATGTGTTTTCTCTTTTATTTTCACTAAGCAATGCCTTTTTTTCCGGCCACATGGCTTAAAATGTTCCTATGGACAGAGGCAATCTCCGCTGTGGAGCTTTCCAGCTCCTTCAGGGTTCTCTTTGGTATTGCCTCTCTGATTAATGTCCTCCTCGCCTGCCTCTCTTGGCATGTTTGTTGTGGTGCCATATTCTTTCGGTTTTGTCATAATGGATTTAATGGTGCTCCGCTAGATCATATGCCAGATCATGTGATACTTTGTTTGCACTCAGGTGAACTTTATTTCACTAATTATGTGACTTCTGGAGGTAAATGGTCGCACCAAATCTTATTTAGGAGCTTTATAACAGAAGTGGGTGAATACACAGCTTTTCACTTTATTTAAACATGCTTTTGAAAGCATTTTGTTTTTACATTTCCCTTCATCTGTATTGATTTTTGTGTAGCTTCATTACATACAATCCAAATAGAAATCAATTATCCAGGTTGTAATGCAACAAAATAGGGAAAAAAGCCAATGGGGGGGTGAATGCTTTTACAAGGCACTTTATATTTAATTTCTTGTAAATGTTTTAATGGAATAATTTATATTTTGTGGCTAAAATTATAAACAATACTCAAAAATCATTTCATTGTTGTTCCACTCGCTCTCCTGAAAACATACCCACTCTACAGGTGTTAGGAGCAGTAATGAGCATACTCACTGACGGGTTGTATTTCATGATTAACTGAAGATTATATTCTCGCTGCATATCTTAGTGAGGTGCTTTTTTAAGTGATAATAATTCCTGTCACCTGTTTTAGCATATTCACTTTACCAGTCGAAGGAGTTTGTCTCATAAAGAAAAATAACGGTTACACAAATTGTAATTAATCCCAGAAAGTATTAGTTTTACTGAAGTACATCGTAATACTCCATATACAGCAAATTAGCAGACAGATTGAGGTGTAACGTTGTACAATCCCTGAAAGACATTTGTGTTTTGTCCTTTCTTTAGGCCCCTTCACGATGCAGTGGCGAGTGATAACCTGCCGATCGTCTGGTTGCTTCTGAACCACGGTGCAGACCCGACGCTGGCCACCTACTCTGGACACACTCCGGTCAAACTGGCGCACAGCCCGAGCATGAAGACCTTCCTCACAGGTAGCCCGACCTTTTTATTAGCCTATGTTTCCATCAGTAACTATTTTGATGAAATACACATATTTCCAGATTGTTAGAGTGGCGTTTTTACCTCTGGCCAAACTCATTTTTCACATCATCCACTAACACTTCAGACACAATAAACAACACATCACAAAGGCTGTGATAAAGCTAATTGCATTGAGACATGTTGTATTTGCCAACTTAACAGTCACCCATCAAGCAACGTGTCAACACATTAATAAGCCTGTGCCCACTCCCACTGCATCACATTTGGCACGGTGAGCACTAAACAGCTTGCATGCAGCTGCATACATGAGAAATGCAGAGTGTTATATCCACACAGGGCTCGACGTTAACTGTTTGAGCCACAGATTGTTTTGTGGTCTTAAAGCTGAATTTTGGTTTCCAAAACTGAGAATGTTGTCCTGGTGAAAGGTAACATTTAGAAGCTTTTAGCTGCTGGACTTGCATTTCCGTACAGTTTAGACGCCTTCAAGCGGTTTTGTATGCATTGACTGCTGAATTTGTATCAGTAAAGAGATTGAGCAGAGGATATCCTTATATTATTGAATAGAAATCAGTAAGACTTAAGTCTTGTTAGGAGACCGCTGTGGTGAAAACACAGCCCATGCCAGTTGAAATATAACTTTAATTGAAGGAAATACATGAATTTGGTGTTGTAAAAGCTTCCATTGATTTCTCAATTAATGATCATTGAGGAAAATGCTTTAAATTTCCTTCACTATGATGATCAATATCGTTCCATAACTGAGCCAGGCAAAGTGATTAATTGCACACCGGGCTTCCTGCGAAACCTTCGAAACGCATGACTTCCTCTTGCTTGTCATATTGAACCCAATAGAATATCCTCCAGCCAGCTTGTTAACAGGAACTCTGTCTTTAGCGTCGTAATTAATTTACTTTCACATCACTGTTGATGGTGTTTTAAGGATCCATCCCAGCTCTTGGCCAAGCTGCGGAGAGTGAGGAAACACTCCCCGTCACCTTGGCTGCAGTATCGGTGTTTAGTGGAGTGTGTTAGTCTCACAGCATGTGTCTCAGGTAAACAGAGAGATGAAGGCTCCGTAATGCATTGAAACATTCAGCTCTGATGACACAGACGCGCACAAAACGAGCCGCAACATCAACTACTTGCCCGAAGTCAATTGTTACTTGCCCCTTTACAAACAAATTGTGTTATTGATTAGTGGTTATCTTGCGGCAAACTGCGCAGTACGTTGTCTGAGTTTTGTCGCCACCCGACTGAACTCCTGTTTCCAGGATAATGCATAAAGTAATGCTCACTTTGTAAGGCACTGCTCTTTCCTCCTGATCCATACTGTGCACGTGCAACCTTTCAACAAAGATGATAAGGAAGCGAGATGGCTCAAGTTTCAAGTTAAGTTCATTCATAGTGAACATTTAAAACAACAGTTGGCCAAAGTGCTGCACAGTTGTAAATCTACAATACAATAAATATGAAAGCTCACTCGTTAGCTACTTCGGAAAAGAAACGCCTTAGTAAATCCCTATTGTTTAGCCCTGTTATACTTGTTGTATTGACAATTATTTTGTTCAGACAACCATCACAACTATTAATCATACGTTTTGCTCTTGACAAGGGGACAAGCATTAATGTGAAGCCCTGGCTTCATACTTTCAGATTGACTCATAGTGTAGATCAAGAGATGATCTGTAAATGAACTGTAAACTCACAATATATCATTTATAATACTGTTGTTTTTTTCCAGAATATTTCACAGACCTGGAAGGACGTAAAGAACAGGATCTCGGCTCACCCTGGGATTTCTACAGTAGCTCCCTCTTTGGTAAGAAAGCTTGAAACGATGTGATCTGTGTTTGCGTCTGCCAATCCATCAGTCCACTCATCAGATCAATCAGTAAGCTGGCCGTGAGGGAGACGAGTGGAGGCCTGTTGCAGAGATGACCAGGTGGCTGCAGGGAAGTTATTGTAGTTTGTAGGACTCGGGCTCGGCCACTGGGACACAAAGTGGTGTTAGCCTTGTGTACCAGCATCAGAGTTGTGCTGTAAACAGCCACAGGGAGCCAGTTCTCCAGTGGAGGATGAGCAGGATTAGAGTTGCATGGAAGAACTGAGGAAGACTAAAGAGAAAGTAGAATGCAGCTAAACTGACGTGACAAAAAATGTTGGTAATGTGTAACAAAAAAGCTTTTATATGTACCTCCCAACGATGACAAATATCTTTTATTATATTGTATTGCCGTGATAAATATTATATACCTTAAGCTTGTCATTGATTGGTGCAATTTATGTTGCCACTGTAGACTGATGCTCCACGACAGACTTAACTTGTAAATTACTATTTATTTTGTTTGTTAATGTTGCATTACTTTCTGTAAAATATGTTTGATTTAATTTCTCTCCTTTGTGTTATTTCTGTTGCTGCCTTCTCACAGTGGTGGGAGATAGGGAGGATCATTGATCTGGCTTTAGAAGCTTTTGTGCCATTCATTATTGTAGAGTTTGAGAGAAAGCCTTGCAGACTTGGAGCGAGATAATCACATGAAACATAAAGCTTTAGTATTAAACATTAGTATCTGTTTCATTGGGCCAAAGTTTTCATATCAGTAAATGCATTGAATTACACTCTGCTTACTGTCCATCATCTCAAACAATCCACCAGTAAACAATCCTTCAAAATGTATGCCTTATTTTTATATGTCTCTATGTAGGGTGTTTTTAACTTCAAGCTGCGACTGACATGAAGTTTGTGTTCCTTTTAACGGATCACAGCCTCACCAGCCTTCAGTAGTAGACATATTATAGTTGTTGTGAATAGACTGTCCACTAGGAGGCGTCCAAACTCCATGTCATCCAGTTTGTCTGCTCCTCTTCATCTCACAGAGACGGACCAGGAGCCGTGCTGGGACTTCCTGCTGTCTGAGGAGAACCAGGACCTGGAGGAGGATGCGATAGGAAAGACTGAGCCGGACTCGGACAAAGATTGCCTTGTGTTTGAGTTCTCCTCCGAGCCTCTCTTACCCTGCTATCACGTTCAGGTGTCATTAACCCAAGGGTGAGTTCAAATTCTTTATCTGCGAAAACCTGTAAAACGTTTAAATTATTCAGTTCCAATTTGTGTGATGGGATCATAAGTGTGTAGTTTTAATTAATGTGTGTGTGATGACTTTCTGTCACTGGATTATTTTGTTGTGATGTTGTGTATTTACATTCAGTAGTCAGTTTGCAATAAATCCCATCTTCATCGAGTTAATACCTCTGATATATTCAGTGGAGTTGTTGTGGGAAGAATTATGTTAATTGGAGGATAATTTGAGGACAGTTGGCTGATATCAGGCATATTTCTCTCTCGCAGCTTTTGCAACTGGTTCCTCCTGACGGACGTCCTCAAGCGTCTGAAGATGTCGGCTCGGATCTTCCGGGCGCGTTTCCCGCACCTGGAGGTGGTGAGTCTGTCGCGTGCTGAGCTCTTGAAGCAGGTGTCGATCAGCCAGGTGAGCTCCACTTTGGCTTCACCTTACAAAGGCAAAATTAAGGAGGAGGAAGAGAAGGAAGAAGAAGAGGCGGGACTTGTGGATCTGGTGCGATGTGTACCGGAGCTCCAGAGACTACTGGGATCCTCTATTGACATCCTGCAAGAGGAGGAGGACGACGACGACGACGATGAGGAGGAAGAGGAGGACGAAGAGGAGGAGGAAGAGGAGGAGGAGGATGAGGATGAGGAGGAGGATGAGGAGGAAGAGGAAGAGGAAGAGACACTGACAAACACAGGGAAGCCTCGCAGCCGATAGCCTCTTTTTCACCGTGCAAACTGTTGTCAACCCAAGTCCTTCCCTGCAAGCAGCAGCTCAAAGGAAACCTCTCCGTCCAATGTAACGAGGGTCGTGGGTTTCAACTCCAGCGACAGTAATGACACTCCACCCATAACCTTTGACCTCAGACAGAAGGTGATTAAGTCATCACAAGGACCTGCACACGCGAGTGGTCGGTGCTGTAAAGCAGCTTTCAGGTTCCTATCTATAGGTATATTTGAATACACGAGAACTATTGAGCAAACCTTTTGTATTGATTATGTATGTACATGGTAGTGTATATGTGTATCTTGCCATCAGGGTTAAAACATTTGGTTATATAAATGTATTCTAGTGGCAAAAAGGACAAATTATGTTGAGGACTTTTTGTTTGAGTTTGTTCCTGAGAGACAGCGGTATTTTTTCGACGGGAGATCAAGACTTTTATCTTGGTGAACTCTTGCGTAAAGCTAAGATGCTTAAGTCAGGGAGGCCACTGGCCCGGATGGTTCTGGTTCTGTCAACCTGGGAGACCTGGAGACCTGCAGAGAAGAGACCACGGCACATAATATTCAAATGTATTCAGAGCTTCATTTAAATTCTTCTCCTCTGTATCGTTATTTCGCTTTATCATCCTCGAGAGATCGTTACTGGACGGACCTAGTATCTTACGGCGTTTATTTTTCCTCCACATTTCACAAAGTGAGCGTGGGCAGCACGGGAGCTGTCGACGTCCCTGCTCAAAATATGAAATAACGTCTTTTTGGACCTTGAGATTGAGCGTTTGTTTACAGAGCTGGACAGATAGTAGTGTCCTCCACTCCCCAGGTTGCACTCCTCCTGAACTGATGCAGAATCCTGTGGATCTCTCTCAGAGGAAAAGTAGTCCCACCTCTGGAGTCCAGAGGCTGCTCCCGCGTCCGAGGAGGCGAGACGCCCTCTTAACTGCAGCCGCGTCCCGATATGAGATCCCAGAGTGCTTTGTGTTGCAGTGTTTTATTTACACTGTTTGTTGTGCTTAATTTAATAGTCATTAATATATTTGACCTCTTGTGTATCTGACAAGCCTATCTATGAAAAAAATTGCTTTGTATGGTTGGTGCTTCATTTTGAAATGTACTTATTAGGATCCCTTTATTCTGACATTTTCCTCCCTCATTCAAGAACAGTATTTCAAAAGAAAAAAAAAAAGGCTAAAGTACAGTTTTATTGTACTGGTGCTAAAACAGATTTTGTGTTGACAATCAATGATGTTTTGGTTTGAAGTCACAAACTAATAAAAGATATTTAAGATGAAGAGACTTAAGGTGTAAAGAAAAGTATAGTTTAGTTAAAGACAACGGGAAACAGCACGACTGAAAGACTGGGCAGTGTGGGAAGAGCCTTTTATTTGATTCTTTTATAAGAAATCAACAAGAATAAAGCATGATTGTGAATTATAGTTATTTCCTCTTTGTTTTGTCAGTTGGATTGTTATGATGATAGCTGAGTTGAATATTCAGGGACGAACTCCCTCAGGTGTATTTCAACTGATCCGTTCGGTTTCAGACATTTTACTGGATAAATGTCTTTTCTTTTTTAATCACAGATAATTTGCCCCTCAGAGGAATCGTAGGAAGAACCATTACATTAATCTGTGCTGTACCTGAGGAAAACCGTTTTACATTCAAACCCAAATGAGCTTTATCTCACAGCACGGTTGGCAGCTGTGATTCGGCACTATGATGGGTAAACACCATAACTGGGTGTCCCAGGGGAGTAGTGGTCGAGGGCACATATCACGTTATCGCTACGCCATTGGTTCAATTTTAGATACAGTAGTTCCCTTCGATGCACATCGCCTTTTTTTTACTCTCTCCCCATGTTGCCTGTCTGTCTCTACTGTCAAGCTTTTGAATAAAGGTGAAAATGACACAAAAACATATAGAAGATTTAGTGCAAACCACTGAATTCCATAATGATTTGCCTTGAGGACCAGCCCATGATGTTTGTAACGTTTTGCTGAATCAGATATTTTTTCAGGCACAGACTGAAAAATCCTTTTTGTGTGCGATGTTTGTTTGTGCCTGAAGAAGATCAGATTGGTCGAAACATTTAAGAGACACTGACGAAGCGGAGAACAGTTTACAGATTCCACTTTTTGTCATGATACCACTCGTTCTGTTTCCTACATAGTAATCACAGATATAAAGCAGGATTTTAAGTGTTGACTCAGCAAATCTCAAGGTCCATTTACGCGCTAGTTGTGGAGCTTTCGATCGCCTCACACGGTCTTTATCATCAGCAGAGTGACTCTTTGATAATGTCTTGTTCTCTGTTGATTCCAAGCTCTAAACTTAGAATATGGCACTTTTGAAAGGAGAAATAAGACAATCTTTCTCTTATAAATTAAAGGGTTAATTATTTAAAAAATAAACACTCTTGCTAACTTTCACACACTAAGTAGTTTTCCTGCTACAGCCTTTCTCGGTAGTGTTTGGTGGCTAAAGTCTTACATAAAGGTTACTATGTAACTGTCATTACTGCGTCAGTGCGCCGCTATAGAAGGATTTAGTATTTATAGTCTCACTTTAAGCCATCGCACATGAGACATGCTCAGAATCTACATCTCCAAGTCAGCTGTGCTCAACTCAATCTGCTGATAAAGACTGTTTGGTTCGGTAGAAATCTCCAGTACAAGGGGAACAGTTCCGAGGACTGTAAATGTTAAAGTGACTCAATGTTATATCTGATAACTCAGACATTCATTTTACCCACTAGAGGGAACCAGTGACAGTGACTGTTAATATTAACAGTGAAAGGAGCAATTTGCTGCCTGTTTCTCTTCCTCTATCTGATCTCATAAAGCTCAAATACATGGGTTAGTAGTGACTTGGTGTTGTGTTCGATTCAACTCTTTCTTTTCGTCAGCACAGGGAAATTCTTTCACCAATGCAATATAAAGCTACAATATGGTCTTCTTTATCCACGGCTGATGCAGAGATCCTAATTCAGGCCTTTGCATCATCCAGCCTGGATTATTGTAGCGTTTTGCTGTCGGGCCAAAGGGCCATTTCCTATCATACACCTTTCCTCTGGAACAATCTTCTCATGGACATCAGTGTGATTCCGTTCAGGCCTTTCAATTAGTTGCTTATTCTCTACTTATCTGGCTGGTGGGTCGTCTCAGTCTCGATGTATAATTTAAGCCTAGTAGTCCTGCAGACTAAAAGTACATTATCTTTCTGAAAGTGCTTCTCAATAACCCTCTTGTTTCCTTGCGTACCTGCGACGTCTCTTTCTCACCTGGCTGCCGGTGCCTCGTTCTACATGTCGAATCTCTCTCCCTCTGTGTGTTTGTTTCATTCTCACGTCTGCATGACGGATGTGCTTGAGATTTGCTTATGTGTGTTTGTGTAGCCTGTCTTCTTTCCAGGTTACATGGTTGAGAGGAGGCCGTGTAGGTCAGGCTGTAGCTGTGTGGAGACAACCTGGATGCTGCTCGACATCCTCCTGGATCTATCTTTTTAATATACAGTATGTTCACATTCTGTGTATCACTTTGTCCCAAGGATTGTCTGTATTGTAATTTTATTATGTTGTTTTTTTCTGTACACACAGTGTCCCTCCTCAGTTGCTCTTCCTGAGGTTTCTTCCATTTCCCCCACGTTCTAGGGGTTTTGGTTTGGGGAGTTTTTCCTTATCCGAAGCGACGGTCAAAGGACTTTTTAGTTTCTACAATTTTAAACGTGTCTCGAACAGCAACAGTTACAAAACTGTTGCCGTTCGACACACGATGGAGCCTCATGCAGTGATGTAACAGCCAAATACCAGAAGAGGGCATCATGTGAGACAAGTTACAACTTCTGTTTAGCCCGCAGGGCAGCTGTTCATCTTCCATGAGAGACTTAACACACAAACAGTCAATACCCACGTAAAAGTCTTATGTTAATTTACAAGATTTATTATTGTTACCCATTACAATAAAATCATCAGTTTGGCTAATGACATTATTTATTTAGAAGAATGGCACAAATGCTTACCTTTTATTTACTTTCTATTTTGAAGCTGAACTGCAAGGATAAAATTAGGGAATGCGTTTAAAAAAGAAGTCAAGAAAAAGAAGCATATTTCTCCCAATGAGCCGCCGTAATATTCTGTTATACAACATTTTCCCTGCAGCATATGGGCCTCAGTTTGAAATCTCAGTGTGAATGTGATGTGTTATTGTACTGGGATGTGACATACCAGCCGTTGCCCCGTACAGGCCCCATGGTGCAGATGGTCCGACCCTCAGTGAAACCTGCACAGTCCCCATGAGGTTACTCGAGTTCAGCCACTGATGCTGCTGCTGCAGCGCTTTGTCTCATGGCAGTGATAGCATGTGGCCAGATTTTAGGCTGCTTCATTTCGATTTATATCTGATTAAAGTATTTTCATAACCTACTCCTAATTGCATATGATGATTCTAAAATACAAAAATTTGAGTTTGGCACCTCAAACTACAAAATTCCGGCTTTTTTTTCCCGGTTAAACTTTATCCAGATTTTTCAAGCTATTCCAAGTGAAGGGATCATGTGTCTGTGAGTTTTAGGAGTCTTTGGGAAATCTTGACTCTCCTGTAAAGCAAGCCTCATTACATCATACATGGGGACGAGCTCTCGGGGCCGGCCCCTTCACCGAGCCCCTGCCTTACCTCACCGCTCATTGGCCACCTGTTGTGAGGCTGTGGCATCTGATTGGATGAAAACGAGGGCAAGTCTGCACAAGACCTACTGACAGACTGACATGGAAAGAGGAAGGGAGGCCAGCCTTACATGGAGACAAAGGGATTATGAGGGATGGCAACGTTTTGTACAACAGCACATTATATAAATATACACATTACATTAAGTCTGTGTGTGTAAGGAAGATGGGTGGTCTTTATATATACTTTACCTTAAACTTACCATATGTCATATTAAACCATATTCTGTTTCTTTTTACCAAATCTTCCAATGAAGTTATACCCTGTCTTTTAAATCCAGTCAAAGCAACATGCTTCAACGGGCTTTTCAGGTTGTCAATGGTTATTTTGTACCCGTCTGTACATTATTTGTTCTGATAATGAGTGCCTCTTCTTAGGCTTCGGGTTTACTGAGTACATCTGGTGTAACAGTTACGTAACAGTCCTCTTTGAAAGAAAACACAGAGAAGGGGGAAGTCCAGCTCACTTAGCTGGCATCTAAAGCTCAGCCTCGATACTTCCCTTTTCTCTCAGTCACCATTAACAACTCGCCCACCAGAATCTTAAACATACCAGAATAAACGTTTTAATCTGTCTGAATTGTCCTTTGGACGTTTGGGGAATGTTTTAGTGCCTGAGACAGATCAAACTAGCTTTCATCCCGTGAGACTACACAGGGCTCTTTTGTTAATATCAACAGGGTTTAGATGAATGTGCTCACTCTCTCTCTCTCCACAGCCAGTTACGTCTGTTGAATGTCTGTCCACCACACATTGACAAATCATACAAGCTGCAGCACTGCTTTGAAATAACTCTCTCATAGGATGTTAAATGTGCTTTGTTCGTGTTGATATCAAGAGATCGAATGGCGTTTAATCCGCTGCTATCTCTGGCTGAATCAGCTCTAAATATAAGCCAGGCGCGGAAACTAACACTGTCATGTATCGGCCCTCACTATGTCACAAGAAGCTTGACCTTGTCCAGATGTCGGAATTAGTTTTGGTATTTGTCCAAACATTTCAGCCAGCCTGAGAAATCCAGTCACCCAGACACAGTAATGAAATCTGATTGAAATCATTTGCACTTTGAGTTTACAGCCACATAAAGGTTAAGCAAACTAGATTATAACTATATTAAAAGTGCACGTGCAGATATCATAAAAAAAAGATTCAAATGTGTTAAAATATTGTATAATTTGAATGTGAAATAAACTGCTGTTGGAGTTGAAGCACTGAAAGGAGCTGAAGGGTCAGTTGAAGTGTAAGAGACGAAAGCAGACTGAAACCTCAGTTGCCATAAAAACACTGAAAGCAGTTGAATGTCAGTTGCATGATACATATTGTATGGGAGCTGCAGTTTAATTTGAAGTACTTACAGGAGTTGTATTG